TCAAATCAACAGCATTGACCGCTCTTTTCATGGCCAGCCTGCTAATAAACCCCGTGTCTCTGCTAATAGCCCCCCCCCCCCCCCCCAAGGAGTTTCACCCCCAAAGAAGGTCTCCCTATTTGTTCCTACCATCACATGAGGGCCAAAAAATCTCCGTTTTCTTGATGTTCAACTCAAGACCCAAACCTGGACCATGCAACCGAATTATGTTCAACACTCTAGCCACCTCCTCTGAATCCCCAATGATAGTCCCATCATCTAGGTACCAAGCATGGAGAAGGAGCTTACAATTGTCTCTAACCTTGTGCACAAGCGGGGTGCAAAACAAGGGCAAAAAGAAGAGGGCCCAAAGGGTCACCTTGCTGCACCCCAGTGGCAGACCATATATGTTGGTCTCCGATATAAAGTCTCGCTGCTTCCCCGTACAAGAAATTCACCCACAAAGAAATGGAAGGGCACATCTTCTTAACCTCATGGAGCAATGCTGAACCATCCACTAGGTTAAAGACATTCGAAAAATCCACAGTCAGCATTACAAGACACCCATCAGCATGATGTTCACTCAACACCCTATTAGCACTGTGTAACACAGCCTCAGCACCGCCAGATACACCAACCCCAAACTAAAAATCATTAAGGTACTTGGCCATTTCTTTACCCACACCTTTCATGGCAACCTTGGAAACCAGACGTCTCCATATAGTGCCTACTGCAATCGGACGAATCCCGTTGTCAGGTTTAAGTAGAGGTGTGAGAGGAGCGGATGCAACAAACTCTGCCAAAATGGTTGGACATATTCCCTCTAACCATAAATTAACAATTGAAGTGATAACATGTATGAGCTCTGTGGCAATAACAGACCCTTCTCCACAAAGGGCGTCTAGTAAGTGTTGAGCCCTCAAGCCATCTCTCCCGCAAGAAGTTCCTTTAGGGAAGGATTTGATGCAACTAAATATACAATCAAAGTCTGCTACAAGGGGAGGTTCATAAATTATAGGGCTCGACATGGATGGGGGTGGTCTGAAAGGGTGCTTGTCCTCCAAAGCTTTAATAGTATCACCATTATATGGTGCAACACCCAATAAGCATAACACTCTCACTGCTGCGGTAAAATGACCATGTGCAACCTTACGGAGGCACTGTCTGATGTTGGTGTTACTTGATGTAGCCTCCTTCTGAAGGATACCTCCACCCTGTCTTATAGCTCCAACCTCAGGATTGTCTAACATATTTTGAACTAACTTCGTGATACCACCCTCTTTCCCCCATGTATCCACGGATTTCAGGATGGAGCTTTGCTGTAAATATTTTCTATTCCCAGACCTACATTCTTATCTATTTTCGGGTCTAAACACCTGCAATGTGCATCGAGGGAGATGTAACAAACACATCCATGCCTTAGCCGAGCCAGGTTGGGCAATCACCTTGTAAAGAGCGGTCTTCAAAGCCTGAGAGAAAGCAAGACAACAACTATGGGGGATACTCTTGACAATAGTGATAGGCTCTTTAAAAACACGATCAAGGAGCGCAACATCAAAAACCAAACCTCCAAGAGCATTTGTCACCAACTCTTTATTTGACGGCTTTGGAATAGCGACAATATAACGACTCGAACCGTCATTCCCTATAACAAACCTCACACGACCATCCAAGTGATGACAATAACGGCTAAGAGCTTGCAAAGTCATACACTCCCCACACATCTATTGACCAAAGGCCTTCAAAGTTTCTTCCACTGCCATAAATAGACCAACATCCCTAGAAAGAGCTTCACGTAACACACTTTTACGATCTTCGGTATGTAAATGATGTCTTTTGATGTGTGAAATCATACGATGAATCCCTTTACTTCCAACTTCACCGTTTGGGCAATAATTGAAGCTTCTGAACGGGCACAGACACATATCACTCAAACTTGTGGAATAAGAAGCCATATAAGAGAACAAGCCTCAAGATGAAGCTAAAACTATGAAGCAATATTAAACAAGGAAGGGAAGGAAATGGCACACCAACACAATGTTGATGTGCACAAGAAGCATCCAAACTAAGAAAACTACATTATCTTGAACAACAAGGCTGCAACACGAGAAAAACTGGTTTAGGCATTTTATCAAACACTTGGTAGGCAGCAAAATTGGCTTCTTAGAATTTCATCTTCTTCCATTGAAACATCAGCCCAAAATCTCTATTTGAATGTAAATAATCTTCAAAGCATGCCTTACTTAAACCCACCAACAATGCACTGGCATCAAATTAATTCACCCAATAATTGAATGGAAAAAAAATGAAAAATCAAGCCAACCGGAAAGATGTCACGATCATATTTGGATTTAGTTTGCAGCTTTTTTTTTTGGAATCTGATAAGTTTCTTCAACTCATCTGATAAGTTTATGTGGTGTTGCTAGTTATCGTGATTCTAATTTTACGAAATGGAGGCGATTCATAGCGTTATCAGTTATAGTTTGCTAAAATACGCTGGTGAAGAACGTACCAGTGGAATGACTCAACCTGACTTTGTTACATGTTCAAATATTTCAGGAGTTATTACTTATGTTCCCCAACACCATATGAACTGTGTTTACATTTATAATATTCATAGCTAGTTTCCTAATGCAACATGTGAAAAACTATGTGCATGATGAATAAGAGCTCTTCGGTTCCTGCTTATAGATATAGGTCATACTGACCAAATTACAAATAGGTTGTATGAGGTGATAGATTTGGTGATCAGTTTGGAGCAGTTAGCATTCATTAAAGGTCATTAGATCCTTGATGGTCCTTTAATGATTAAAGAGATAGTGGGACGTTGTAAGGCACGACAGAAACAATTAATGGTGTTCAAAATTGATTTTAAGAAGGTATAGATTCGTTGTCTTTGGAGTATCTTTCGGAGTCTAAGGATTATGGGGTTCGATAATATTTGGCACAGGTGTTCAACTAGATTATATCTCCTCTTATGTTGGCTGGAGCGTCTGCTCTAGTGAACAGTTCCCCGAGTTCATGGTTCAACATGGTTTTTGAGAGGGTGGTCCGCTTTCGCCTTTTCTTTTCATTTTAGCCATGGAACGAGTACACCTTGCTCTGCATACGGCTAAGGTGACCAACACCTTTTATGGGTTTCTGTAACACCCCATTTTCCCTTTATAGTAGAAATTAATATAAACATTTGTTTATAAAGTTCTAAGTAGATATATATTACTTTTTAGCCAAAGTAATCATCATGAACATATAGAAGACGTCAATATGAATTTTATAGATATGAAGAACGCTTAAATCTGATTTCGTGTGAAGAAGTTATGATTCTTTGAAGTTCCAAGTTCAGCTCTATATGATAAAACGTATCGTAAAAATTGAGTTGGAGATAGGTCGCTTATTAGGCTAAGCAATATAAAAGAAAGTTGTAGTAATTGTAAAAGCGAAAACATGCATATAAAGGACATCCAAATCTGACTTCGTATGAGGAAGTTATGATATTTTGAAGTTTCAGTGCAACAGTGTGCGACACAGAAATTAAAATTAAGATTGGTTGAGTGTTAGCCAAAACAGTGTAAAAGAGAGTTGAAGATATCATAAATACCAATCCATCGATATAAATACAGTCGAGAACATAGTCCGTATGAAGAATATATGAATTTTACACGGTTTTTTGCAGTGTAATCTTCATAGACTATTAAGATTAAAATCGAATGAGAATTAGCCAAAAATGACTAAATGAAAGTTGTAGTACTTGTCTATAGCTACGCGTGAATATAAAAAATGTCAAAAACGAAGCTTGTATGTGAAAGATACAACATTTTGAAGATTGAAGATTTTACTTGCATCGACCAGCTAGAAGCCGCCATGTGTCACACGCGAGAGCCATCCTTTCCAACTACCAATAGGCACGGTGTGCCTAGGTAGGTAGGTGTGAGGTACCTAGGTAGGTAGGTGTGGTGTACCTGGGCTGTATATATATTGTGATGTATGGTATTTTGAGGAACTCACTAAGCTTTGTGCTTACCTGGTTGATTATAAATGTTTTCAGGTATTTCCTCGAATCATGAGAAGGGCATGACTTGACTGGACACATGCACATTCACATCACATCTTCCGCATAATGTAATTATACTATGATATATTTGAATAAATAAAAATAAAAATAAAAAACTTATGTTGAAAATTTTGATGTTATAGTTTCAGCTAGCTAGGTGATGGTGAGGTGATGTCTCAAACTTCTTTTATGGTGCTCATACGGTTTTCCATTGTGATTGGTCTTAAGAAAATGCTAGACGTATATTGCGGATTTTATGTTGTTTTTTTCTTGTTTCAGACCTTATGATCAACTTACTAAAGAGTAAATTGTTTGGAACTGGGTCTTTTTTTATAAATGTTGAGCATGTGGATGGAGTGATTAAGTGCGCTGTTATTAAACTTCCTTTCATGTACTTCGGTTTCCGGTTGGTAAGGAGATGTACCGGGTCCAAGCATGGATGGTTATTATTGATAGATTCAAGTTTAACTTGGCATGGTGAAAGGAGAAAATTTTGCCAATTGGAGGTATACTTACTCTTATTAAGTCTGTCCCTATTGTTAGATTGGTGTCTAAGTCCATAACTATTTTGGTATGTACTTGACCCGATGGTGCATGATCCTTTTAAGTTGCCTTCACCAAAGCAACTTGATAGGATGAATTATGGAGAGAAAGGATTAAATATAATTTATTAATATATTATGAGAATAATATATTAAAGGAGAAGTCATATTGTTTAATTAATATTAGTCAAGAATTAATAAGAATTAAGTTTGTGGCTAAAAGAGATTAATTAAACTTAAGGGACTGGAATTGTAATTATAAGATAATTGCAATTGGGCTATGGATTACCTTATTATATAAGGTTGGACGAATTCTATGGGGAAACCCATCAGAAATCGTCCAAGGCCTTTAAGAAAGGAATCCATGGGCTGCTTAGGGCTTAAGCAGTCAGATTAGGGTTTCCTAGCTTAGGGATTAAGCAGTCAGATTAGAAATCGTCCAAGGCCTCATCACCTTTCCAACAACCTTTCCCCCATGAGTATCCTTCGATGAACCAGAGCCAACCCCCTTTTTCTCCCCCTTGCACCCATATTTTAACAAATGGGGCATCTGTTGCCATCAATTTCACTAATTGTAGAACAGGAGCAAGTTCGACTTTCAGATTATTCTCTAAGGTAGAAAGCATTTTCGAAAGAGACTCCTGAGAAATCGAAGAAGGAGGAGAAACATGAAGCTTCGAAAGAGATTCCTTCCAGCTCCCCAAGAATTCTTCCAGCTTAGAAAACACCTTGGTATCAAACTCTGTCTTCGAATCTATCTTAGTGATGAGTAAACTGAACAACTCAACAATCCTTATAATTGCATCAACAATTATATCAACCTTAGAAGGAAGGTGTGAGTAATTCTAATCAAGTTTAGCAATTTCCTTCGACATGTCTGATTTGATTGCCTTGATTTGGAGCTTGACAACCTTCTCAACTTTCTAAACCTCTTCGATGAACATAATATGACGTTCTTTAGCAACTGCTCGTAGATCCTTAACCTCATATTGAAAATTATCAGCATGACGCTTCAAACATGCTTCATGTTGCGATTTAGTTTGCTTCATTAACATTCACAACCAAATTTCTTGGGCTCTTAACAGAACATCAACTTCGATCCCAAACACGGAATTTCAACTCCCAGAGCCCGCTTAAAGTTATAGTAAGGAATTCAACTTACGATTCAAGATCTTGAATTGCTTTCCTGACATAAGCATGTGATCAGGAAAGTTATCCTCCTCAGGATCAAATTGGATATCAACAAAAGATACCATAACTTCATCATCATCTTGATAAACCTATGGAGTAGACTTTACACCTTCGGTTGATTGAGAAGGGAAAAGAGAAGTAATAGGTCGATTTATAATGTTGTGATAAGTGGGTGAAGTAGTGGAATCTTGTAACGAAGCAGGTATAGGTGTAATAAATGGAGGTAAGGAATTAGAAGTGTAGATACTGGGTGTTTCTATTGTGTATGAAAGAATAAAACTAGAATAGATTAAGTTAAAACATTCGAATTACATTTGCCTTCATGAGTCAACATCCTATCACCCATGTTGACATTTGTGTCCATATTGGATATGTCCACAGTGATGCTTGAAATTCGAACCTCCTCCGAAACGGATTCAACAATCGAGACTTCGGATGGTATGACACTGGTCTGCTCAGCAATGGATGGAGTTGAATCGAAGCCAATGTTATGATTGCGAAGTGGAGACTAATCACATTCATCTCTGAATTCTGTCTCAACCACAACTTCATCTAATGGATCTTGTAATATCTTCTGCTTCTTCTTGAGTTTCTTCATCGTGGCATGAGCTCTACGTTTCTTTGAAGCTGGAGAAACTGGAGGTAGGATTTCGAGAATAACCACCCCCTTTCGACTTAGTTGTGGTTTGCAAATCCTCTTTGATTTAAGAACAAATACCTCCTTAGGTGATGAAATATACTTCTCATTAACGGCTTTGATAATAGGCCTCCTTTCAGGTGAATGATGAGGTCTATGAGCTAGCTTCTTCGTTCTTTTTAAAACACCAGTTTTCGATGGCACCACTTCCTTTGGAACATCCTTAATAATAGGTTCTTGAACAGTAGGCTTCGTTAACTCCTTCTCGATTGTATAAGGATCCGATTTAGGGTTTTCAACCCTTGATTATTTCTTGGAGCTTTTGCCACCTTTTGAAGTTCCTACAATTCCCTATGGTAACAACACTCTTATTTTGAAATTAGGGTTGATTGTGGCAAGATAAGCAACAAGAACATGGTTATTTGGATCCACCTTGCGAAGCATAGCATCCATAATTCTTGCAACATTAGGAAAATTTGCGGAGTCATTTTTAAAATTCTTTGGATGTTGATAAATCCCAAATTCAATTTTTGGAACATCAGCTGAAACAAGAATCCCTTCCTTATCGTACACTTTTTGCAGAATCAGACTCCAATATCTAGCACACGACACACCCTTGGCAACATTGGTGTGTGAGATACTAGCACCAAACTCATCCCACAGTTGAGTAGCGTAATCAACATTCAGATCATAATATTATCCAACAATCATAACATAAACTTCAAGTTTAGCTTTATGCAGACCAACACTTCGACCTGTCAAGCGTCGAAGAAATATCCCAAACAGAAAGTTATACAAACACACGGTAAAGAAGGCTTTTTAAACTGACTGAGTTTCGTGACCAGGGGTTGATGACCTATCTCATTAAACATGTGAACAACATGTTCATTGGTAACCTCATAGAAATGTCCAACATTTGGAAGGTTCAAGATTTGAGAGAACTGCTTCTTGGTGAGCTTATACTTCTTGTCACTGGTTAACTGGAATGTGACCACTTTTGAAGTTTTTTTTGAACATGGCTGTAGAACCAGCCAATGATAACCATGTCATCAGAACTGAGAAAGAAGCGGTCATCAAAGTGGAAAGAACTGAATGATTGAGAGAAAAAATCAACATCTGCAGTTCTTCTGGGAATTTCGAAAGATCTGGTTGAACCCTATAATTGGAACTCTGGATCTTCAACAGAGGTTGATATGAAGCATCATCAGTGCTTTGAGAAGGATCAACATGAACATTGGTCACCACCATTGTTAGGGTTTGAAGGTTTGAGAGAAAAGATAAGTATAAGGAAAGATAATTTGGGGAAAATCTTCAACCATGATACGTAAAGTTTGAATTGGTGACCCCCAAAATCCTTTTATACTTAGTACACAGTTTGAATTTGAAGCGGTTATCAATAAGATCATGCAACATGTATCCTTGAAAAATGGGCCTATGATTGTAAAAATCGCCACGTATGAAAAGTAATAAGCGCTTTTTCCTGGAAAACCATGAAGTAACCAAACCATCACATCAACCAATCGTTTCGCTTGCCCCAAGAGGATAAGAATCGTCACTGACCCTTCATTTTGAGGCATGGCTCATCTGCTTTTGGTATGAGAAACAAAATCATACCCATATTTTTGAAATCTAGGTTTGAGTTGGTAGTACTCAAGACCTTAAGGATTTCTTGTGCAAATGTGTGCTAAAGAGTGAGATGAGAAAAAATACAAATAAATTGGTTTTATGATGTTAATTAAAGAATTGACATAAAATCATAAGACCCCGGGAAAATATCACTTTGTTCTACATCAAGAGAGGTGTCGAACAACTTGTGTGGTATCCCGTGAATTGCAATCAAATATTCGTACAGGAATATCGATGGGCATTGTTTAGATAGGCTTCGAAGGCAGGCACGATTTTGTTCATTACCACAACTTAACATAGGTGTGACTAAAATATGATAAAAAAATTACTTGTATGACTAGTGCAATAAGGGACAAGTGTGGTTAGACAGACTTTAAAAGTAACTAAAGATCAAATGGATATTCAGACTGAAATCATATTAAAAAAATAAAGTACTGGACCTTGTTGGGCAAAAATGTCTTGGGTATAGAACATTTTATGATGACCACTCATAACGAAAGAATATGACTTTGAATATCGAAGTGTGGTACTAAAACACGTGTTTTGTTAGATTCTTGAACATAACGTTCACTGTCAATTCCTTCACAAGTTGGGAATTTTGGGTTTCACAATCATCACGGACTCATGAATCAAGATCATTAACACATACTTGTGCAGTATCTACATTCTGATTGGTTTATACCAGAGATGTTGAGGATACGCAGGTGAAGTGTGTGAATCGTGATGAAGTAAGTTGATGAAAAAGATTGGTTAAGAATCAAAGTGTACCTCTGTAAATGATAAGGACTATGCAGAAATCTCTTAACTCGACATGAGAAGAGAAAGGTAGCTCGTCGACTAATGCGAATATAGCCTAGTTGGGAAGGAACACTGATATTGAGGTATCCATTAAGGCTTTGAAACACATTGAGTCTATGAGACTTGGGCCGACCTACAACAACATGCTTCAAGGGACACCTAACTGGTGCAAAAAGTTGAAATTATACCCTCCCCCCATTGTCACAAGGCGAAATCCACCAAAGTATTTTGATTGAACACTACACAAACAATTAGTAAAGGCACAAAATAACAAAAAAAAAAGTTTCGATTTTTGTTTTTGAAATGAAAAGTACAAAAACAAGTAAATCTTTTTGGAATTTTTGTTTTTGAAATGAAAAATACAAAAATAAGAAAATCTTTTTGGTATTTTTGTTTTTTGAAATGAAAAATACAAAAATAGGAAATTCTTTTTGGTATTTTTGTTTTTTGAAATGAAAAATAAAAAAAAATAAGAAAATCCTTGTGGTATTTTGATTTTATAAAAACACTATGAAAATAAATAAAAAATTTGTTATCAGACAAAAAAAAATGAAGATCAGCGACATTGAGACATAGACTTCGAAACATCAAGTCTGCTCAAACAACGAAGTATGTTCTGCGTTATTCAAAGGAATATCGAAATCGAAGCATGTCGAACGTTGAATCGTGATCAGTAACTTATGGATCATTCAATGATGTTTCAATTCTTCTTTATTTCATGACGAAATTAAATTGGGAACAACAGTTGCATCAATCATTCCTAATGCAGACAAGATCCTGATAAAAGACTTTTCATCCAAAGGTTTGGTAAAGATGTCAACAAGTTGATCTGTTGTTTTCACAAAGTGAACCTCGATATTTCCATCCTCGACCTGATCCTTGATGAAATGATATTGAAGTGATATATTCTTGGTCTTTGAATGTTGCACCATATTATGGCAGATACATATCACACTTTGTGAATCGCAATACAAAGGTATCTTTTTCATGTTGATTGCATAATCACGAAGTTGGCTTTGTATCTAAATGACTTGAGAAGTGCAAGTTGTAATAGCAACATATTTTGCTTTTGTTGTGGAAATCGAAAAACAAGTTTGTTTCTTCGATTGGCAGCTAACTAGCTTCCCGTCCAAAAGTTGGCATCCACCACTAGTCTTTTCCGATGAAGTTGACATCCACCAAGATCTGCATTGGAAAACGCTTGAATAAAGAAACCTGTTTTCGAAGGGCACCATAAACCTAACGAAACTGTCCGTTTAAGATAGTGAAAAATATTCTTTACAAATATTAGATGGGGTTCCATGGGATTTGGCTGATACCTGGCATAATTACAAACAGTAAACATAATGTAAGGTCGACTATCAGTTAAGTATAGTAACAAACCAATCATACTCCTATACAAAGTAATATTGACAACAGTCTTGTCCAACGAAAGCCCTAAGAGTGTGCTAACAACCATTGATACTCGTAATTTTGAACTATTCATCATTCCAAACTTCTCAAGCAGGTTTCGAGAATACTTCTCTTGATTTATGAAAATACCATCTCTACTTTGACGAATATTCAAACCCAAAAAATTGTTGATCTTACCCTCCATACTCATCTTGAATTGACTTTTCATTATATTCTCAGATTCACTACATAACGAAGGATCAGTCGAACCAAAAATAATATCTACGTAAATTTGAATGAGCATCAAGTGATCCCCCACTTTCTTTTGAAATAGAGTAGGATCAACAGATCCTTATTTAAATTTCAAGAGTTTTAAGAAACTGGTAAGAGTTGCATACCAAGCTCGAGATG